TCCGTGGTCTTGTCACTGCAAGAACCCGCTTTTGGCAATCCTGTCGAGTCATTTTTTAACTTAGTTAATTGTTTAGCACAAATCTTATCAAAGGTACCATTAAAGTTTACGTGGATGGAGGCCTCTTCTTCTAAAACGTGCTTCACTTTGGCTGGCAAATCTTTTACCTAAAATTTTTTGCGGCTTGCAATCAGCTTAATTTGAACCAGATTCTTTGTAAACAGGATATCGAAAGCTTCCGCAACATTAACAGAGGATTTTTTTCGGCGACTTTATCTCCTAAAGGGTTTTGTGGGTGCAATTTAACTTTACACCCCCATTTCACCCCGGCACCATAAAAACTGATGAATGATATTTCTGATATGTTCGGCTCTTAAATGTTTAAAATCCCAACAGTCGACAATGTTGACAAGTGGAGTGGTCAATTTCCCGGACGCCATTACAGCCCTTTGATCCAGACGTTTCGCTAGTACGCGTGGCTACCATCTTCAGAGTTGTGTCGCCTGAAAGCGACTGAACACTCCTCGGCCTAAAAAACCGACAAAAATCTCCCACTTTTCAGAAGTGAACTACTCAAATGCCGTCAACTTGAAATCATTTTTTTAAGCAAAACTATCATATATATCATATAAGCAAAGTGGTGAGGCATTTATCGTAAATGCGAATTAAACCTGCGAACTTTTCTTTGGCGTTGATTAAAGTTTCAACGAAACAAAATCTCATTTTAAACAGTGCAGAATGGGGCCACTCTGGCTATTTACTGCGACAAAAAGTTCTTCAATAAATTCTCCGCGTCCAGTTTAGTTGCGCCGCTACGTAAAAAGGCCATTAAAAGTAGCCACTGTAAAACGGCATTCAATGTGCGGAATTCTCGGCCAACTTTGCCACAAAAAAACCCCAAGCAAAATCCAGTTTTTTTATTGTTAATGCAGTTTAATAACATCCAGGCAACAGTTTGCTGGTGTTAATCTCGGGCGTTTTCCTCATCGGCCTCCAGCAGCCTCTTGAAGCTGAAAGGCTCAAAATCGTAGCCCTGCCCCTCAAAGAACTTGGTCATAAATTCCACCCAGTGCAGACGCAAAGTATGCAGGAAAGCCGAAAGGCCCTCCATCAGCACCAGAATCCCCACGGTAATGCTGGACCAGGCGAAGAAGATGATGTAGATGGCGACTCCTCCAGTGTAGGGATGCGACAACGTCACCAGCGCCTTGCGCAGCACCATGTCCCAGAGGACATCAGATAACTCTAACATGCAAGAAAAAATTTAGGAAAAATTGCAAGTTTTCAAAAGAGAAACTCTTACGGGCGTGCGCTAGCGATAAGGCCCACAGCCGAAGATATGACGCAGTGTGGGAGACTGTGCTCAAAGTGAACTCGATGGTGTGGATTCCTGCATGCACCATCAGGTCGCTTAGGGGCTCTTCTTCGTGTGAGGGCAGAACGCTGCTTTCAGGAATGGTTTCCAGCTCCGTAATGCTGGCAGCTCGCGAAGTGTGCCCGTTCTGGAACCCGGGATTTATGAAATTTCTGAGAAGAACTTGCTCAGAAAACCACCTGGCGGGTGACTCTGGGGGCAGGCTTTTTCTTCCTGGACATGATCTCGTGTATGGGCACCCCTAGAAGCATCCAGGGAATGCAGACTACAGCCAGAACCACCAGAATGCGTTGCAACGTCTGCTGCCCGCCATACATGTAGTCCTCGCAGGGCACATTGCTAGTGGGTGCCTTGAACAGCATCATCCCGATGAAGAAGATCAGAACGTTGGGCGCACAGGAGGAACCATGTATGGTGTCTGGACGAGGCAGCAAAGGCCGATAAACTGGCTTGCAACTTAAGGCCACACTTACCGATCTCGTAGTCGTTCATTGCGGAGTAGTTGCCCCATTTCATGAAAATCATTATCACCAGATACACGAAGAGGAAGCCGAAGAAGAGGATTTTCGGCAGGAAATCCAGGAGAATGTGCGAGTACTTCTTGAAATGTCTGCAAGTGCAAGTGATAGCAAACCTTCCTGGACGCCTCTCGTCGTCTGAGCGCACTCTACTTACACGAAATTGACCACACTGAGACACACGCCGAAGGCCATGTGCACAACCCCAAAGATGATGGAGAGTTTCATCTTGAAGGAGTTCAGGAAGATGATTTTGTTGTCGGCACTCTGGAAGAACGCGGGGCTTTAAACCTGAAGACCCACACAAGGGCGGATCCAGGGGGGGTCATGACCCCCCCCATTTAATTCTCTATCCAACGATGCCAAAACGAATTCTGTGGCTCGAATGGTTCTTGAGAAACTTCGAAAAAAGCAGCGGCATGTTCAAGTGGATTTTGCAACTCGAAAACACCACGCAAATCTAAAACTTCTTGAATTCAAGCATTTTTTGAGAAAACTGCCAACATTTCCTTATCGATGGTTCACTTGCTAAAAAGGCCACTTATTTCTGTCTAGAATGGTGTACAAATGAGCGTTCTTGCTCAGTTTGCCTCCGAGATATGAGCAAAAACGGGACGGAAAACATGGAATTTTGACATAATCTTGCACCAGAGTGTCTGATATTCAAATTTCGCTTTCTGGGTCAAAACTACTCGAACTTCCTCACTCTCGTTGTTACGACTGAATCGACTTTTCAATTCTCTATCCAACGATGCCGAAACGAATTCTGTGGCTCGAATGGTTCTTGAGAAACTTCGAGAAAAGCAGCGTCATGTTCAAGTGGATTTTGCAACTCAAAAAAAACCACGCAAATCTAAAACTTCTTGAATTCAAGCATTTTTTGAGAATACTGCCAACATTTCCTTATCGATGGTTCACTTCCTAAAAAGGCCATTTATTTCTCTGTAGAATGATGTACAAATGAGCGTTCTTGCTCATTTTGCCTCCGAGAAATGAACAAAAACGGGGCGGAAAACATGGAATTTTGACATAATCTTGCACCTAAGTGTCTGATATTCAAATTTCGCTTTTTGGGTCAAAACTACTCGAATTTCCTCACTCAC